GCTTTTGAATTTCCCAGAGCTAACTCATCTTCTTCTTTACTCCAATCTTCCTCAGGCTTCAGACTGATTGTCCCATCTCTTTCAGTTATGGTGGGATGTATCCATCCTTTATCAGCAGCTCTCCAAGCCTTTTTGTCCAGAGATTTTAGGAAGGCAATCATACGAGGTTTCCAGTAGTCATAATTAGTTCCATCCAGAATGGGTGGTCTATTTCCAAAAACTCCTTCTTTGTCCATAGTGCCAGAAAGTGATATCCCTAGATCTCACCCAGTAATACAGGCAGGGTGCCTGCTCTGATGCCAATTGAAATTCTGGCTACAGATACTCAATGTCACGTCCAATGTTATGACACCGTATCTGACTTACTATATGACAGTAAATACAAAAGCAGTAAATAACACAGTCAATTGTTTACCCAGTTCAGTGTGCAACAACACCTACTCTGGGGGCTACCAAGCCAGGGAGAGAATCCACTATAAGAGATGTTAATTCAGGAATAAACCAACCAGTTTATCTCCTTCACTTAAGACCTACCCAATGCAATTCTAATCTAAGTATAACTTAAACCTGAGTTCCTACTCACTCCCCCTCAATCACAACAGTGATACATAAACCAATTTGACTTGAGAATTGATGAAGACACTCTTCAAAACACACACTTGATTAAGCTTCACAGCTTTTTAATCAAGTAACACAATCACTCGTGCTTCACAGCTTTGAGTGATGTACACAACTAACTTGACTCTGCTTCACAGCTTTAGTCAAGTAACATTCAAACACTCTTGCTTCAAAGCTTTGAGTGCTACACAACCCTTACAATTGAAACCTATTCCAAGACACTTATCACAATGATAATTGCTTGGAGTACAATAAACAAATCTATACAGATTACAAAATTGATCTTCTAATCAATCAGCAGGGATGCCTTGAAAAACCGCAGCTCTGTTGAATATATAGCAGCTGCAACTTCAGTTAGGGTTTCCAAAAACCTAGGGTTGATTCCATTTGACCTAAAGACCAGGTCACAGTACTTTATTGATCAGGTTAGGATTGAGCTAGGTTACTCCTCAGAAAACGCAGGATTCTGTTTAGAGGGGACTGAGTTATTTCCTGAAAAAACTCAGACTTATCCAATCCTGCAATCCTGTTAGTTCAGAACAGGATGTCATAACATCTGTTATGACATCTGAGAAAACCTGTCTACTGATTTAGCAAAATGTGATCATTTTGCAAACATGCTCAGATACACACTTATAAACATCAGTATTTGAATTACAATATTTTTCTGCACATGTACCTATTGAGTTAGTACAACCTGAACTAGAATGTTATGACATCGGTCATGACATTCACACAACACTTGGGATTTAACAAAAATGCAAGCCAATACCTAAACACCTACAGCACCCCTCATGTATGTGATACTCCACAGGATCCACTCTTGTTGTTCTAATCTAATGGGTATGTTCTATCTAAACTCTAATCAAGCTAAAGGGAAAATTAATGTATGCAAAGTGTATATACAAATAAAAAGGTTTTATTAGTCGTACCATCCGCGATTGCGGACCTTTGTGCCTACATACCCTCTCCGTGCAATGAGAGATCAAGACACTCACAATTCATCTAAAAAATGTTGATGTTATGTATAATTTTTATGAACAATGCCAATATCACATTCTACTGCAGCTAGACCTTTGGAGACTCACGCATTGTGGTAGAAAGGAATTAACATATTCTTATATGAAAAAGGCTTTCAAATAAAAGAGGCTTGAAGGAAAAAAAAGGTTTGGATTGGGTAGTATTCTTTATATTGAGAAAAGATTTAAGAATGTTAGAGTATTTTATGAATTTTTCAAAGAAAAAGAATTTTAGTTTTAATATGAAAAAAGGGAAGAGGAAAAGTCTAAAGGGGATTAACCTATCTCTATCCCTAATGTTATCATGCAATGATGGTCCTAAAGTTTAGATAACAAAGGGAAATCTATACCTATGTTAGCATACATGGATTACAATTCTAAGGTCTAACTTGTATTGGAAATGAAACAAATGAATCCTAAGGGAGCATACAATGGTATAAAGAAAAGCACAAACACAAGGTGCAAACAAACAATGATAAGCCAAAACCAAAACAAACATACATCAGGTGCGAGCTAATAGAAAACAATAGAGTCCAAAGGATCTCAAAGTGGGAGTAAGGAACTCTTTCCACTTGATTTGCTCAAGCAGCAACATTGAGTAACAACTCAGAGCATCAACATCGAGCGACGTGAGCCAACATCGTCAAAACTAATGATAAAGCATTTATGTTTGGTTACGGACCCCTGTCTTCCACTTGACTGGTTCGATAACAAGAGTAAGCCCAATTCAAATCATTAACATACAATACGAGCTAGGAATGAAACATACTAGAATGTGTGGGGGTCGATTGTAGACCCTCTGCTCCACTTATTGACTCGATAGCAACCACAATATAAATGGGGAGGGGAATTGCCTACTTTGAGAACTTTAGCATAAACGCCTCCTGGTCTTTAAACAAAAAACAAGAAATCGCCCCTTTTGGAGTCTTTTGCAAACAAAAAAATCACCTCATTTAGAGGTCTTTAACAGAACAAACATCACCTCACTTGAGGACTTTAAACAGATTTTCCATCTAAAGTAGGGACTTCCATTCATGCATCATCTAGTACTACTTCTCATGGCATCAGAAAAGCAGTAAATGATCATGCTTCTCTATTTCTACTTCTCATGGCAATGAAAGCGGTAAATGATGCGGAAAAAAATAAACCAGAATCAGTATAATACCGAACAAACAAGAGTTAGTAGCAAAGCAAGCAAAGCATAAACACCCAGAATACTTCATGCAAGATAGCATCAACAAACAAACAGTTAGAGATCGAATGCTCAGAATAAGTGTCGAAGCATCATCAATATGAAAATAAATCATAATCGAAAACTCAAGAATATCTGCATATCACACACTTACCTACATAAGACTCAAATATCGACAAGCAAAAGTGAATCACAAGTCTCAAGTAATAGAATAATCATGATTTAATTCCTAAAATCAAAATAAAAATAAATAAAAAGATCTAACAAATTTGTATTGATTTAGAAAAAAATTTATCATAAAAAACATATAGAAAAAATTATAAGAAAAATCCTAAATCTAACAAGAAAAATAGGAGGATGGGGGGGGGGGGGGGGAGTGAGCTAAAATACATGGGTTTGGGTCAGTAAGAAATTTAGGGTCTAGGGCCTATCAGCAACAAGGTCCAACAACTATTTTTTTTGGCATCACCAGCTTCAGACATAAAAAAAATCAAAACGGGCCTTAGGGGATTGTTTTGGTCCAGTCCCTTGATCTAAAACACTAATAAATTTATAATATATTTTTATTCATCTTATTATCATTTAACAATTAGAAATTAAAAAGCAATTGAACAAGGGAAACGGTGCATTTTGCTGTAGATCTAGGGTTCGAATTCTATGCCTATTCAACTTCACGATCGAAGTATTCATTCTTCTTCACTTTGCAACGACGTTATACCCTCAACCACCACCGTCTAAAAGCTTCAATATTCACCGTTCGTTGTTTCGTCCTTAAAACTCCGTCTTTGTTTTCCGATTCAACTTCGACGGTGTGGCCCCTTACACCTTCTTCGATTTCCTAGTTCTCCTTTGATGCTTCCGATTCAAACTCTTATCACTTTAATAGTTTTGATTTAAGTTCATTTCGGTTCCGCTTCAGTCGTGGTTTCGTAGAACGAATGAAGAAGAAATTTAAAAAAACACAAGGCTTACCTACCAGAAGTCAAGTCCGGCGCGTCTTCCATTTTCTCTACTTCCTCGATTCTAATTCCATTTTGATTACTACTCAAGCATTTCTTGTTGTCGTCATTTGTTTTGATGCGAAGCAGGTTGATGGAGATTGAAGGAAAAATGATGATGATTATTGATATCGGATTTTTATGACGATATTGATTTACAGAAGGTTGAGGACGATGAGGATTTGCTACTGAAGGTTGAAGATGAACGAAACGGTTGTGAAGTTGTGTGATGACTAAAGCGTTGAAAGATTTTGAAGGTTCTACTTGCGTGAAGACGAGGATGATGTGGAAGCGTGAAGTTTGAAGATGGAAGAGAGAGTGAGAAGAGTGAAGGTTTAAGATGAAGATTGTTGAGAGAATTGGTTAGAGCTTTTCTGATATTTTTTGTGAATCATGAAAAAATCAATCCCCTGAATTTTGTTAGAATTTAGGTTATATACAATTTTGTTAGACTTCAATAGTTTGTTACAGGTAAGTTCATCATGGTCTTTGATTTCAATCAGTCAGTTAGGGAATTAATGGTTAGGGTTGAAATTGATAGGGGTTAGTTATAGGATTTTGAAATTAGTTATTGGTTTGAAAACTTTTGTTATGACAGTTGGAGAGCTGAAAAACTATGTTATTGTTAGTTGCTTGAATTTTCTGTGGAATTTGTTTTGGTATTATTTTACAGAACTGGTTTAATGGGATTTTGAACTGATTTTCTGATATTTCTTTTTCACGTTTTTCTTGTTTTTCTATTTACATAATATTCATATAATCAGGCGTAATCCCGACGTCAAATGGAACTCGAATCCGTGATTTAAGTGAAGAAAAAGAGCATTCTCTAGCTTACTTGTATAGACCTCTGGATATTGATGAATATTACAAACAAGAGTAGATTTTTTTTCTTTGTTAATTTTCTGTTTCCAAAATCTGAATTAAGATATCGCTTTATGATCAGTGGTTTTTACACAGATATTTAGAAGTTATTTCAGTTATTGTTTCTTTTACTTATCGAGGTTTTATTTTGATTTGTCGCATATTATGCTTTGCTTTTGTGTTTTAATGTTTTCAGGTTCAGAAGAATAAAACAGGACAAATCGGGGAAGAAAAAGTGCACAATTCAAAGTTTATGAGGAAATTCTACAAGAGCCCTGACACGGGTGGCCGTGTCACCTGACACGGGCTGTGTCAGGGGGGAAGACTTGGAATTCCTGGAAAACAGGGACTGACACGGGCAGTCGTGTCGCCTGACACGAGCCGTGTCAGCATGCCTGGAGCAGGAAAATTTCTGATGGCCAACACAGGCGGCCGTGTCGCCTGACACGGACCGTGCCGGCCAGTGACGCTGATTTTAAGTGTTTTTATGATTTTCATGATTTGGGACCCATGGGGTGTTTTGGGCATTTCAGACCGAGACAAAGGGATTGTTCACTATTTAACCAAGTTTCCACGATGAAAACCGGGACTTTTTTTCCACGCGGAGAATTAAGGATCGAAGAGTGAAATATATGAGATTCTTAGAGGACAAATATTTTTCATGAGCCACATCGATTGAAGATCAAAATTCATCATTTATCTGTAATGTTTAATCTTTATATCATTGAAATTCTTTTGAACAATATGAGTAGCTAAACCCCCCAATGCTAGGGGGTGTTCCAGATTTGAATCTGTAATGATTATGAATTCTTGAACTCTTTAATAAAGTTTTTTTCTTATTCAATTTAATCGTGCAATGTTTTCATGCTTTCCTGATCAGACCAATTAAGATTGATTTACGGTTAAGAATTAGCTGAATCGCAGTTGTAAAGGTTTTTGTATGATTAGGCTATAATAGATATCACCTAGGACTAGAGATACCCTATAGTTAATGGATTTAACCCTTGATAAAATAAAGGCTTGACTCCATCAGATATCTCTAAGGACTTAGGATTTAGGATGGATGGTTAAAGGTTTTCTCACTAAGGACTTAGGGGAAAATAATCTAAAGGGTTGGTAGTTAAATGTTATGAACTTGTTGAAGAAATGTCGTTATAGGGCAAATTACACACCACACCCTAGCATGTTGCTCATACTTGCGAAAATCCATAATTTACATTTCTCCTTATTTTTAATTTCTGTTAAGTGATAATTCCTAAACCAAAACCCCAATTCAAGTTTTGTCTAATTGAACCACAAATTAAACTCAATACTGATACGCAGTCCTTGAGATCGACATTCGGGGAATTTCCCTATTATTTCAAGAGGCAAAAATAGTCCACTTGTTATTTTTCCTATCAAGTTTTTGGCGCCTTTGCCAGGGACTGCCTAGTTATTGAGTGTAATTTGAGTTCAATTAAGATTTTGTTGTTCTGCAACTAAAATTTCTTTTATGTAATTTTTATATTTTTTTATTACTGATTTTTCCTAACCTTTGCATGCGAGGAAAACCCTCGGTTAAATTTCCTTTCCATATGTAGACTCAGGTTCAGAATCAGAATCCAAAACTATGGGTGAAAACCCACCACCACCAGAGAGACTTCTTGGGGATTACGGAGGATCAAATGATATGGCAAATCGGTTGACTATTGTGAATCAATCGATCAATGTTGAAAATTTTCAACTGCATCCTTCAACCATCTGCCAGCTCAAGAACAAATCTTTCACCGGAAAGATCAATGAAGATGCCAATAAGCATTTACAGAGATTCGTCACCATGAGTACTACTTTGAAGATTGATGGGCACTCTGAAGAAGCCAAGAAATTAAGGATGTTCTCGTTCATGCTCTCTGAAGATGATGAAGAATAGTTTTATTTATTACTTGCTGGGAGTATTACTACTTAGGAACAAATGGAGAAGACTTTTTTTGATGAGTACTTTCCTGCTTCTGTTTATATTCGCAAAAGATATGATATTGTGAATTTTAAGCAGAAGGAAGGAGAGTCATTAGGTGATGCTTATAAGAGGTTCAAGAGGTTATTAGTAGCCTGTCCCACTCACAACATGGATCAAACTGAGCAAAAGCAGATGTTTGTAAATGGCCTCAGAATAAAGACAAAGCAACTTATCGATACAGCGACTGGTGGCTCATCCAACTTTACAACAACCATTGGTATTAAGAAGATCATTGAAGCCATTACTGCAAATGAACACCTGGAATTATATGATAGAAGTGTGAGTAAACCAGAGGGAGTGATTGACTTGAAACTTGCAAATCAATGGGTGAAGATAGAAGATCAAATTTCCGCTGAAGTTGAGAAAAAACTAAAGGCTATGAATTTTGGTACCCAAACTGTAGCCAAAGTTTAACCTGCTCAGACAGTCAGTTGTGAGATTTGTATGGGACCACACATAACTGTGAAATGCCTTGAAACTCCATAACAAGTTGAAGAGATCAAATTGTTGAGGCAAAATAATCCGTATTCTAACACCTATAATCCTGGGTGGAAGAAATATTCTAGCTTCTCCTAGAAAGATCAACAGCAACAAGCTCCACAAAAAGCAGAATGGGAGGTGGCGGTTGAAAAGATGGTTTCCCACACCTCTCAATTTCAAGAAGAGACAAGGAGTAATTATAGGAATACCACAGCTGCAATCAAAAATTTGGAAGTTCAAATGGGACAGATTGCACAACAAGTAGCACTGTGAGCACATGAAAATCAGAAAAATCATGAGAATGTTAATGTTGTCACAACAAGGAATACGAAAGCTTCTAAAGAAAAGAAAGATGAGGTAAAATTTAATGATAGTATCATAGAAGTAGATCTGGAAGTGAGAGAGAACAAGAAGAGTTGGTATCACCTGTGAAGTCAGTTGAAGAGAAAACTAAACCAGCGATCAAGTTGTCGTATATATCTCGAGTGGAAAAGAAGGACACGAAAGAGAAAGAGTTTGATAAACTTGTCCATTTGTTCAAAAATCTAGAGATTAATATAACATTCTTTGAAGCACTCGATAAAATTCCTTTGTATCAGAAATTCATGAAGGAGGTATTATCAAAGAAGAGATCAACAAGAGAGAGATTGATATCCTGTGATGAGAAATTGTGTGTAATTTCACCCGAGAGGAAAATACCAGTCAAGAAGAATAATTCGGGATATGTTGCAATACCGTGCACCATAAAAGATATAAAATTCAAGAGGGTTTTAATTGATTCTGGTTCTAGTGTGAGTTTGATTCCATTGTTTATTTTCAAAAAGCCGAGTATTGAGAAGATAAGCGAGAGTGGGACAAAATTGAAATTTGTTGATCATACTATCAAACAGTCATATGGGATAGCTGAAGGTGTATTGGTGGAAATTGACAATTTTGTTTTTCGAGTAGATTTCCAGATCATGGACATTCCGGAAGATGAAGAGACTCTTATCATTCTTGGTCGACCCTTTTTTATTACTAGTTTATGCAATTTTGATATCGAGACATGTGATCTAATAGTGAAATCATTTGATGAGGAGATAACCTTGAAGGTGTTGGAAATTAAGAAGCAAGATGAAGGTGGAAAGAATAAATCTTCATTCGGAATGATCAAAGTAGAAGGAGAAAGCAACATTTCAAAATCACTCCCAGAAGAAGTCTCAGGAAAAATCTCTCAGGTGGCATCAATAAAAATTCCTAAGCTCAGTCAAGAAGAAAAGAGGAGAAAGAAGAAGGAACATCGACCTGAGAAGATGGAAGTTGGAAGTGGTTGGATGCACAAATAGGTTAATACTTTTGATTTGAATGAGTTATGGGTTGCAGAAAGGACAAGCAACAAGGTGGGGGAGAAGAAGTACCCCTCATAAGGGGATGAATTGTCGAGCTATGCGGCGTTAAACGAAGCGCTTTATGGGAGGCAACCCACATTTTTAATAACTTAGTTTTTCTTTTTGTGTTTGTTTCATTTTATCTACAGGTAATAAAAAGGGAGCCTTACTGATGAAAGCTAGGAGCCAGCAGCTGGTGTTGCATTACCCTCTATGAGTCACATTCTTGAGCTTGTTCTGAAACATTGGGGTCAATGTTTAGTTCAATTTTGGGGGGTTTTACTGCTTTTCTTTTTTAGTTATTTTGTCGGTTCTTTGCAAATTGCGGTGTAAATCCACGAGTTGAAGTCCTTCCCAAATTTGGACCGAATTTTTATGTTGTTTTTCTCAAGATTTTTTATTTCATAGTGTTGTACCCCCAAAATTTGCCCTCTCATTCATCAAAAAATTTGCTCACAAGATCTCCTTTGGCTCAAGACTGCAATAGGGTTGATCAGCTCAAGACACATCCCTAAGCACTGATGACCAAAATTAGGATTTTAGATTGCACAAGGATATTTGAACTTTCAATGCTTCATATGACTTTCATGGATCATTATGGACCCCCAAGATTACTCATGTCAATTTTCAAGCCTTGGATCACACTTTTGCTCAGTAAATTGAGCAGTTGACCTAAAAATCAGCTGTATTGGGGGAAAAGTTAACTATGGACAATTTACAGTCAAACTTCATAATATTTTATCCACATCAACATTATAAACTCATATGTATCATTTGATCAAGTTTGGAAAACAATTCCTCAAGAAATTGATCAAATCATCAAAAGGGCAAAATGGTCAAAATTAGGGTTTTGATTGAGAAGGGGCAATTTCTGATTTTTGACCTAGCAAATGGTCAATTGGTTTGAAGCATGATTTCAAGAGTTCAATTGCATAATTTTTACCTAATAACATGACCTAAAACATTTCTCAAGATCAATTGGATTGATACTGAATTTTCAGTCAACTGGTCAAAAAGTCAATTGTACACTGAAAAGTCAAACTTTGAATTTTTGGTCAAAATTCAATGTCAAAAATCAAAATTAATCAAAACATGTCAAAATATGAAACTTATTCATCAAGAAATCAAAAAGTCAAGATTTCATTTTTAAAAGTCAAAGTTTTCTAACTTAGAAGTTTTTCTAAGTGTTTAAGCTTCATGTTTTTTTCATAACTTTAACCCAATTTTTCACCATGATGCAAGAGGATTCAAAAGAAACTTCTAACATGAAAGTTGTAGATCTCCATGAAATTTAAAACTTTTCTTCATACAACTTCTCCTAAAAGTGCTTGGATCTTAAGTTATTAATTAATAAAGTCATGGTCATGAAACAAAAACACTTAGTGAAATTTTGCCCTAATTTGGTCAGGATTTTGACCTAACTTCATGGCACTTTTTCATATAGTTCCAAGGGGAATTTTAAAAATTGATTCAAAAATATGTTGTAGAGCACATTACAAGCTTTCCAAAATGTCCAAGAACTCCTTGAGATCATTCTTGAGCAGGGAGAATCGAAGAGATGAAGTTAGGGTTTTATCACTTGATTCACAAGTCATTTTTTGATGAACACGTGAACCAAATCCATGATAGGCTGCATAATCTTTGCTTTGCAGGCCTCAAACTTGTTTGTCACTCCATAATTAAAT